TCCTGCGATACCTGCTTGATTTCCATATTCAGAGATGTACTGAAAGGCTGGAAGCGCTACCTGCATAAGCAGATCTATAGTCGTTCCGATGTCGAAACGGTAGCGTGGTAGGCTAAAGCACAGTCGCGTACCACTATAAGTAGTTAGTGAATGATTTTTTACAGGCAGGGAAGGGGATTCTTTCACAGTGTAGTAGAAGGTGAAATTAACGTCGCAGGAAGAATAGGAGGTAATTTTGCTCCTCCATTTCCAATTTCTTTCAGATCGCCAATCCAAAGTACCGCTTCAAGTTAGCCAAAGGACCCCATCAACTCATTGCGATGGTAAATTGTTCCCTTTACTGCCTTCTCTATTAATGACGCCATTTCTTAATCATCATATTTATCTCGAAAAACTAACTAGATCCTCTATGCCGACACTATGAAGGTCTCCTACACCGCAAAGGAGTCTGATGCATTAGATAAGCTGGCTCACTATCCCCTCCTCGTTCGTTGGCCTCTTGCTGCTTCTAACGCTTCCTCAACCTGCAGTGCCTCCAACTCCACCTCCTCCGAAGGTTCAACTAGTTGTCAATTCGTTTTGGAGGTCTCCACGAGTCTGGCCACTTTAGCACTGGTGGATGTGGACTACGAGCGGACCTGTGCACGGTTCACTCACAACAGTAATGGTGGTTGTGGTGATGAAACCGTTGGGGAGGACGGAGGAGGCGATGACCAGAATGCCAATTTGAAGTCCCCCAAGAGGGATCCAATATTTGGAAATTTGCAGAAGTTTCCCACAGTACCTGGACACCTCGCTGCTGGAGAATGTGTGACAGAGGTCTTTGGGGTGGTTGAGGAGAAGTAGGTGTTTTTATCTAACTTCCCTGTTTATTGTGATTTTTTTGGGTGACTACGGTGTGATTTTATCGTTCGTTTTGTCCCATCTAGGTGCATCACATTCTGATTGAGTCAATGAAATTTACTCCTCCATGGACAAGTAATGGGGCTAAAGTATTTCTGTCTATCCGTAGTTCTTGGAAAATAGAATGGTTTCAACACTGTCAATATTACATGGAGATAATGTGTTCATTGCCTAGGCAATGCCTGATTTTAAATCAACAGAATTTGTTTTCTCTTCTCAAAAACAAGGGTCACCGCTATCATTGAGGGTATCAACATGGTCTCCTAATTCGAATTGCGCTTTGAAGGATTCTCTTTTACGATTCGTTAAGGTAGATACTAAGGTACCTCATCTCATCAAAAATTGGAATCTCGCTGTCTAGATTTCGCCTTAAGGACTTCTGTGAGAATTAGCTTTTTTACTATTTTATTGAATAAAGTAGCTGAGCACCACGTATGCTCCTTCTCCTATTTTAGTTTCGCTCCCTACGCCATATCGGGTTCTTACTTCGAGGGCCGGGTGGCCTACTACGACAATCGCGACCTCAAGAATACCGTTGGTTTCCCAATTTCTTCGTGCACTTATTTGCCACCTTTTTGTTCTTTCCTTAACAACATTTACGGTAGTGAATAGCCACAATTATCATTTAATCAGCAACTACGTTTTCACCGCCAAAGTAAGTTATAGTGAACCGTGGAAAACTCCAATGGATAATCGTTCACCCATTCTCAATCGAATGTTGGCCTACTCACCTGAAGATATTACTATTATATAAGTCAATGACTTGGGTGGCATTTCTACTGGAATGTTGGTTGTGGAAGGCTAGGATGATTTTTACGGCAGAAAAGGATCGTCTCATCAACATTCCGATCTCTCTATCCTCACTTATAATAACCATCTAAGTTGGACTGAATGTGTGTTGACGTTATGAGAGTTTTAACAAATGCAGAAATGTGTGAAGAATAAGGAAAATTCGAGATTTGTTTAGCGAAAAGGAAATAAGAAATAATACGATTGCAATCTTGTATGACGACTCGACTGTCCAAAATGCGTATAACTGTAGCACTCCGAGACTTCTCTGAAGACGGAAGATAATACTCAGGCGGAATGTTTTGTTCACATGCGGAAGGGATTGAGGCTACTGGTACGATTCGGAGACCAGGGCGCCCGGCGAAAAAATAATGGTGGAGACCCAAAGTGTCCCTTTTTACCAAAACTGAGAGCTAAATAGTCTGCATATTTTATAGCCCCTTTCCTCTTTTGAGCATCGTCCACGGTGCTCTCCTTGGCCAACCTCCCGCATCAGTCATTACAACGTAATCGGTGTCGTAAGAGAACATTTATGAGCCAGCCGCTCCAGTCGTAGGGTTTTTATGCAGTTGAGGCGATACTTGACCATAACATCATTGATCCCTCTTGGCAATTCAACCGGATTCGCTGTTTCATTCTGTACGGGAAATGCATTTGGGGACGGGAAAATGTGTTGGTTATTGAACGTGTCCATAGCTAGTTGTAGGTAAACTAGCCATAAAGCAGTCATCTAAAAAGAGACGGGGTTCGACACAGTTCCATGGGAATAGGGCTTCGCATTGATTCCTCCTTGCCACGTTGTTCTCGCTTCAGCTCTACCCGGCCGTATCTGTCTATTTGGGTTCTCTCCAGCTGGTAGAGAAGTGGATGAGGTAGTACTGCGTGTTCACATAATTGATATTTCCATACAGGTACGGTAGGCAGCTCCGTAACGAGCATTTCCAGATGGTTCACGGCAAGTGTCACTTCTACTGCTAACAGCTATTCTCCAGGCCATTGGGCTGGGGTAATTGTCGAAGGTGGACGTCATTTTGAGACCGTCGTCATATGTTCTCCCATCCGCAGCATATGCGCTTTTTCGCTTCGGAAAGGTTTTGCAGCATTATTGTTCTTTAAGATCGAATTCGCTTTCCGCTGCCACAAATGTAGCACCCTTAGACTTTTCTGAATTCGAGGGAAGACAATACTCGGACAATATAACGTATTGATGACCTACAAGAGGGCTGGACCAGGAGTTACTGGTACGGTTCGGAGGCCAGGCCGTCCGACGAAGGTAGAGTGGCGGAGCTTCCAAGTAACCCGTTGCCAAAAACCGGGAGTTGAGCAAATAGTTAGAATATTAAATAACATTAAACCGATCGAAGTAAACAATTAGTGTCACTTAAGTTTTTGACTGACTAAAGGGCTACAGGAAGCGTTTTTAAACATCAGTGACATTTCACATAAATCTGTTTCCGAAAACTTATTTAAATGAGTTGGAAAATTTTCTGTGCATCTCATTCCTTTACTCATTCAAATGCTGAGCTGCCTGAGTCGATTGCTAATATTAATCTCAGCTTCTTTTTTCATGGCGAGGTGCTAGATCGTCAAATTTTTGTTGTTGGGGGCTCTCATATGCCTTTCAACCGATTCCTAAATCTCAATTATGTATTGAGCAGAGGCTTGCAGACATAATTTCAAAAGCTAGTCGCGAAACCCCTCGCCAATATTTGTCGGGGTGAGTTCGGTCAATCAGAATAAATTTAGGTTTAATTTTTAACTACGTTGAAATGGCCTGTTATTTTTAGCTCCTTGCAACTTGTAGAGTTGTAAAGACTTCAGATATTTCTTAGTTATCGTGTGCGTTCCTCACAGGGGTGTTTATAACTGATTTGTAGCCTCTCCGTATATGGGGAGTATGCTGAACTCAGTCATAGTAGATATCTTCCGTCTATTTCTCTTTGGCGTCTTATTCAACCAATGAAGCCGGAATTGTCATCGTGGTGTGAATTCGCTGAAGTTGTCACCTACGCGGCGCCCACTTTGCCTCTACATTATAAGACAGCGACCCGGAAGTTACCAGTGGCATAGGTGGTAGCATGAACAGAGATTGAACCTCGGGATGCTGAAAAACGATGTATTAAGTCAAGCATCACTTCGTCACGCAGTAACGACAAGGTTCACAAACCTTTCCTAACTCTTTGATGTGTTGTTATTTTTCATTTATCCCCTTCCTGTGCTACAGGTTAAACTACCTCTCGAAGTTTACGTGGGTCCTCGAGACAGCGGCGGTGCTACCACGCCACCGACCTCGAAAGCGCCCGTCGGCAGAGGTGTATTCGGTCTGCGCGCCAGAGATGTGTGGCTGCTGCGGTGGATCGCAAATGCTCATTTCGGTCTCAGTGGCACGTCAAATTGCTGGGTGACGCCGTATGAAACCAATAGTTAGTAGATCTTCACTAACCTTTTTCCAGTTCTCGAAGCTTCATTATGTAAAATTTTCCACATATTCCTTTGTCGGTTGAATTTCATTGAGGAAATCGCTTCAGAGGCCACCGGTCACTTGTGTTAAGACCTAACCTTTTAAGCAAACTTGGTGCAGAAACGCTCATTTTACATATGTTATGCTTTTTCATTAGTTTGCTATTTCATCTCCTTTGAATTCGTAGGAATATGTTAAGGTTATCCAGGTACCACGGTGTTGTTTCCGATATTTGAAGAACTGATGATTAAATCCTTTTTTTTCATTGCCAGGTTTGTCCAAGTCTGCATCATCCAAGGAACGTAAAAAGAAAAACGGGGTGCGTTCGTCCCAACATGCACATGCATAACTCCCTGCATAAACTATACTGCCATTAAATGCTTGCATTTTCTTGGTTTTCACCACAAACACTATTTCCCTCTTTTTAACCAATAACCATCCAGGGGAGCAGCAACAACAGTACCATCGGGAGCAACAATAAGACGAAGGAGAGCGGCACAAACATCTCCCACTACGTGACCGCACTGCTAAACGCAGGAAGCGATGCCACGAACACAGATCGTGCGGCAGTATGGAAAGCGGTGAATGCGGCCATGGCGGATCTAGTCACCGCCGCCAAAACCGCTGGCCCAGACGAACACCTGAGCTACCTACTCCCCTCTTCTTTCACCTGCACCGAAGAAGAAGATGATGATGGAGGGATTGGGGCCATTCCACTGCTAGTTGGCGCGTCATCATCTACAGTGGCAACGGCGATAGCACCAGGAGTGGAAGAGCTACAACCGTAAGCATTTTACGTATTAATATCTCTAGGAGGTTGTAACTCCAGACGTACCAAAGTAATGGAAAGAATTATGCGACCACGATGATGGTCGAACCCCCGCGGAGGCTCAAGAGCCCGGAGATTTTGATAACCAATCAAGGCAAACATCGTTCTTACTGCAAAAACTGTCCCATAGGGCCTCGAAAACAACGGAAGGGGAGGCGCCTGTTAAACCTCCGGTGAAGTTGCTCACACGAGCGCAAGTAGTGGAAGTGTTAAGTGTCTACGGTCGATATCTCTGTGAGCAGATTACACTGCAGAAGCACTCCAATCGTGCTCTGGTAGCATTGGACCTCGTGATCACTCGACTGCAGCATCTGTTAGGTCCTTCATCACCGAAGGATGCATCGGCAGGGTTGATGAAGAACTACTTTGATGGGGAAGATGCCAAAGTGGCCACCTCAGTGGGGATGAGTGTCGCGGAGGTTGAGCTAGTGAAGCCACTGTTCAGTGGCTTTTGGCTGGCCCACCTCTTTGTGCTTCATCCGCAGTTGCCGCTATTGGATGCATTAATGCGTCTGGCATTTGAGGTAAGTTATGCGTCAGTAGCAGCAGAAAAGATTTCTCCTCATTTTCCGCCTTAGTAAAGGACGAACGCTCTGGGGTCGGGGTTTCGGGTGGGGTTTTCGATCTGACATTTTTTGTAGATTGGTTATTCGGTTTAAAACAAGTTTTCCAAACGTTTAAAGGGTAAAATTTACTTCTTGACACATCGGATTTTTAATATTCCATCTACGTATTAACATTACGTAGTATGGTTGTTTGAGCTGTGAATGCCTACTTAAGTTGCTCAGTCTTCACTAATTTTTCTGACGTCGCTATCGTTGCTTCGGCAAATGAGGCCGAAACGGACCTCCTCATTTTATTGCCGTAACATGCGAGGCTGTGATTACACGGTAACTGTTTCGTTTCACTCTGGTGGCTACTAGACTATTATCACGCGCACAACAACGCAAAGAAGTCACTTTACACCGAATTGTGAGCATCTAGTTACCATTGTACGATTCTTGCGACAATGAAAGCCTTTTTTTCTTGTCGACATGCGAAGGGATGTGACTTGCTTAGGTGATTCCAGACCAGAAATATAGTGAATCCCAAATACTTGCCTACCCTTGAAAAGGTAGAAACATGAAATGCGATTCAAGTTTTTTGTCGCGCAAGTTGCTAGGTCCATCGGGTGTGTAACGTCCGATCCCCCTTGACATCAACGCCGCTTCAATGTATGCATTCTTGAGGCTCTGAGTGTCGTAAAGATATCATCATTTCGAAGACAAAATATCGTGTCTACTTGGATCTGTTGGATAGAAACACTTATAGTCTAGTTTGTGGACAATGGATACGCAGGTTTGAGGTTCCGGAAGTTATAACCTTATTCATAGATGAGCCACCTCGAAGACTTAAAGTCCATGTGGACCAAACACTAACTCCTACTGTCAAAATCGGTGCCGTACCATTGCAGGTAAAATACTCTTACCACTTCATGGACTACTAACTTTGATTTGCGTTGTTTTGCTAGGAAGTTTCAACCAAACCTGTATTGGGAAATGTATCGTACACCCAATTTCCGTACTACGGGCATTGACGGGAATGATGACATTCGTGATTTATTAACAATAAAGCTGGCTGAGGTGCACATTTAACTTGACATTGAGATATAAACGATGTAGTAATTGGAACTGGTAGCAAGGTAGTGCCCCGAGAATTTCCTGAAAACGAAGGAAGACATAGTACTCGGAGCTTAAAGGCTACTGGTGTGACTTGGAGAGCAACCTACCCGATGAAGGACAATGGAGGAGACACAAACTGTCCCCTTCACCAAAACTGAGAGTTAAATATACAACCAACGCATTACCTAGCCTCTACCTTCTTTTAAGCGTCGTCCACAACACTCCCCTCGGTTAATTCCCCACGTCAGCCATTACAATGTAATCAGTGCCATAAGAGGACACCCACGAGCCATTCGCGCCAGCCACCGAATTCCCATGCAACTGAGGCGATACTCGACCGCACCGTCACTGGTACCCCTTGGCAATTCAACTGGGTCTGTGGTTTTGTTCTGTACAGGAACGGTGTTGGAAGATGGAGGAAGATGCTGATCATCACGTATATCCATTGCTAGTCGTAGGAACATCGGTTCAAAGGCGGCGTCATGTAATAAAGGACAGGCTTGAGCAATTAGTTACGTGGGGGTAGGGTTTTACGTCTATTCCTCCTTGCCACTTGGTTCTCACTTCAGTGCTGCCTAGCCATATCTGTTAAGCTGGGTTCCATCCAGCAGGTGGTGAAGTGGAGAAGGTACTGCTTATTCACATCATTGATATCCGCATACAGGTACGGTGTAGAGCTCCGTAACGAACTTTTTCAGATAGTTCGCGGCAAGTGTTGCTTCCGTTGTTAATAACTATCCTGCAGACCACGGAAATGGGGTAGTTGCCGAAGGGAGACGTCACTTTCGGCCCTTCTGTTATGGGTCGGCGCATATTCTCCCATCCGCAGCTTATGCACACCTTCCGCCCCTCTGAGTTTTAGAACCCAGGAGTGCAAATCTGGACAGCTGCCCTTTAAGATCGGGTTTGTTTTCGGCTTCCACCAGTGTACCATCCTGACACTTCCCTGAAGACGAAAGAAGACATAATACTAGGGCTGGATATGCATTGTCTACGTACAGTAGGGCTTGGGGCTAGTGGCGTATCCCCAAAGTCGGCCCGCTGGGAGAGGGTACAATGGCGGAGCACCTCAGTGATTCCTTTACCAAAATTGAGAGTTGAGCAAACAACCATTACGTTACAATCCCATCTTTGGATAGTTATCTAGAACTATGTTGGTAATCATTACAAGATTTATCGAGCCGCAGACAAGTAGCTTAGTAGCAGAGAAAAATAAGATTAAACCATTCTACTTTGACAATAATAATATGACGGTAAATTATTCTTAGAATTGTCATATTTGACTAAAGAATTGCAGGAAATTGTCACAAAGTTTCACTAGCTTCACAGGATTGCGGAACTAGAAATTGAGATAAACCATTGACTTACAAAACAATCGTAGGGTGGGCTTAAATGTCGCTTTGTCGATGCAGATACTCCCGTAAGCTCGATTTTGTCCAATATTCTACCTTCCACTGGCACGAACGTACCTTCGTTGCGTCATTCATGCGTTTAGAGAATATTACCCGATGAATGCGCCAGCAAGTATTTCAGTCCACCGTAATAATCAAAAGCAGTCCTCAGAATTCGTGGTAAATTGTAAATATGATGCCCTGTTTGTGCCCATAGTCTCTGGTACTTCTGCCCAAATGCTTTATTTTTGTTTTTGGAGACGCTGCATTGGTGGCAACGCGATCCAAACGAACACCAACGTCAATGTAATTGGCTGGATATCACGTCGAAACGTCACATAGGAATGGCTGCATCCACGAAGACACCGGAAATGTTATGAACGTGCGCACCGTTGACAACCTGCCCGAACTCAAGCTCTACACTATCGTTAGTTGTGGAGGTAGAATAGGTTTGAATGAACTAAAAGCAACCATCAATGAAATGCTTACGGTCCTGCCACGAAAACGGCTATTCTGAGGGCATCATGTTTCTTCTCATGTCGCTCTCAAGTAAATATTTTGCTTGAAAGCGATCGGCTCACCATCGAATATTATCCAGCCGTTAAGGACCCTCTCCAAAATGAGTTTTACAGTCATCACCATCTCTGAGGACTTTATAAAGCATCTGAGAATGAAGAAGGGGTTACTACTAGTTTAAGGATTAGATAGCTACAGCCATTGGCGGAGTGCTATGCCACCAATAATGGTGATCGAAACGGAACCTCAGCAACTGCATTACCATCCGTTTCAACCTATCCAACCCGGTATTTGACCACTGCTTGAATTCTCTCCTTACAGTTGGGGCCGCCCACAGTAAAGGGAGGGCCGTCACCTGCAGGCATCGTGAACACAAAGCACCCAGACCTTACACATGAGAAGGTCATTATGGACTGCGCCAGCATCGCTTTTCCTTGGATGGTTGAGGTAAGCCTCTTGGCAACGCTATCCGTGTCACACTGGATCGAGGTAAAGCAAGCTGCTGCATTTCTGTTTCAGCAACTCAAACGAATGGGCTTAGTCGGTGTGGCTGGACGACTGGCGCGTCAGATGCCGTCACGGTTCTCCACGTTCGATTACACCCTTGTGCTTTCTCGTCTACCCGCAAGTGCGCCTCCCACCTCGCCATCTTCTTGAGGATGGGTGACAACTTTTTTCACGTCGACTTGGACAAGTCCGCGAACTTGATTTTGCTTGTATTTTTCTCCTGCTAGACATATACGATTTCTCTCAGTGCATTGCTTCAAATATTGTGATCGATATTATGAGTCATTATTGTGTTCGTTCTTAAGGTGGATAATGACAGTTGAGATTTACAATAGTACGCGAGACGCAGCATAGGGAGAGTAAGATTGTAGGTCTCCGCAGCGGGCTACTCATGCGACTTTCATCCAATTCAACATTAGTGCCTCGCCACACATGTTGACATGCAAACAAGTCTGATGAAGAACACACAAATCGCAAAAAGAACTAGGGGATATGGGTATCTGCGCGTCAAACACAGCTGCACAGACCATTTTATTCGATAAACACCGGAGATAATCTACGAAAACGGAACGTTAACTACCGAATTTGAGCTTCAAAGCAAGAAGTCATTTAATCTTCGATGGTTTCGAGACCTTGCATGCGCCAGTGCGTTCCTGCAACGTCGCGGTCCCTCAGGAAGATT